ATCGCCGCTGGTGAAACCATCGCGCTGCTCTTCGAGCTTGCCCGGGACCTCGAGGTGCCTGGGCCAGGCCGGGGCGGGCGGGGTGCCCACTGACACTACTTGCCTTTCCCGGGCTGGGGGTCAGGGAGGCCACAGAGACTGGATAGCCGTAGGTCGTTATGTCGGGCCATATGCTAGGTGCTACGATGGGGCCCTGAGCAGGGGTATCCTGCCCAGGCAGAGGCCCAGGAGGGCTTCCGAGGGTCCAGGTGGAGAAGAGAAGGGCTGGAGGGAGGTTTGGCCAGCCCTGCTGAGGGCCAGCTGCGCTCAAGCTCCCCGCACCCGCCGGCTCCCCCTGCAGGAGGACTTCGTGTGCGAGGACATGGAAGCCCTCCGCGCTGTCCTGCGCTCACTGGCCACCGACAGCAACAAGCACCGTGCCAAGGCCGACCGCCGGCGCCAGCGCTCCACTTTCCGTGCCGTGCTGCATTTCGTGGAGGTGTGTGTGCGGACAGAGGAGTCCTAGCGAGGGCCTGTCCCCAGGCAGAGCAGCCACGTGCGCCCCTCTACTCTGCAGGGCGGCGAGTGTGAGGAGGAGACGATCCGCTTCGGGATCGAGGTGCTCTACATGGACAGCTGGGCTCGGCACCGCGTCTACGCCGCCTTCAAGGACGCGCTGGGCTCTGGCATGCACCACCACCTCCAGGTGCCGGCAGCTGGGGAGGGGGCACTGGCCTGACTGCTCCGGCTGGCCTGTGCTCACTGCCCTCTTTGCCCCCAGAACAATGAGCTCCTCCGTGACATCTTTGGCCTGGGTCCCGTGCTGGTGCTGGACGCCACCACCCTGAAGGCCTGCAAAGTCCCCCGCTTTGAGAAGGTTTGCACCCCCGGGCACCTTCGTCTGCCCTCTGATCCCCTGTTCCCTGGAGGCCTGGAGCTCTGCAGGGCTGAGGAGGGTCCTAGTCCTCCCCCTTCCGTCTCACGGAGTCATCGCTCTCTGTCCCCACCCAGCACCTGTACAACGCCGCCGCCTTCAAAGCCCGGACCAAGGCTCGCAGCCGCGTGCGGGACAAGCGGGCGGACATCCTGTGAGGCAGGGCAGCTGCAGAGAAGGCCGTCCACGTCCCTGCCGCGTTTTTAACCGAAGACATTCAACAACTGGTCTTCACCAGTAATTGTCGCTTTATTTTTGTAATCATGATACCAAAAAAGACATGGGGTGGGTGGCTGGGGACCAGGACACTTGGGACCCTGGCCCTGTGTCCCTGCAGTCTTTCTGCCCTGCGGCCTCTCCCTGCCCTGTCTCAGGTCAGGCCGAACGTGTGCCTGGCCCAGCCTGTAGGGAAGCAGTACAGGGGCCGCCCCCCTCCTTTCCTTTCTCAGGCCTTGCTCTCCTGGGGCGACCTACTCCCTTGGGGGGTGGCCTTGGACAAATGCCACCAAGGCAACGCTACCTGGAATGGATTATGTGCTGATTTTTAAAGATTATCAGAGATAATTATTATTAAACACAGTGCTCAGCCCGCTGAGGCCTCGGCTCCGGGGTGTTTGTCCTCCCTCCCCCTGTCCAGCACCCAGGCTCCGGGTCAGCTGGTCACCCCGTCTCACCTTTGCCCTCCAAGGCAACCTTTCCCAGGTGGCCCCTCCTCCTCAGAACCTGCTGTGTTTGGACAGCCAAGGCTAGCCCCCCACCAGGAGACCCAGGGGAGTTTGGGTGGCTGCCTTGGGGGTAGCTATTTCTAGACAGCTGCTATCTGGGGGTGGCCAGAAGGTGCTGACAGGCCACAGGAAGAGCCAGCAGGCTGGTGCCCCTTCCTCTGACCTCGGGCCACCCCGAGCAGGGCCTGGCACCAGAGGCTTGGCTAGGCCTGGTGCAGGGACATCAGGAGAGGTGGGCAGCTCTGAGTCACGTCAGGTTCTGAACAGAAGTCTGAGGGAGCAAGACGCAGCCAGTAGCAGGAGAGGACAGGCCTGCTCTGGCCACTTTATTTCCACCCCCACAACCCCAGGTCCGAGGGGCCGCTCAGCTGGGAGCTCGGGCCTCACTGGAATTGAGCCTCCGTAGCTGGCTCAGGCTGGCCAGACGGAGTTTGAGGAGCGTCTCCTCCTGTGACCGCAGCGTGTGCGCCAGGACGCGCAGGGATTCGCTCTGCAGCACTGAGGAGGAGTGGGGACCTGTTAGACCACCCCGCCACCCCACCGCCCCTCCACGCTGCTGCAGGCGTGGCAGGCGGTCCTTCCACCCCCCCAGAAAGGCCCCCCGGGACCAAAACCCCCCCCCCCCCCCCCCCGCTGCTGCAGGCGGGGCAGCCGTTCCTTCCACCCACACAGAAGGGCCTCCGTGTACCGTCGCCCTCAGTTCCCACCGGTGCCCTGCGCCCTCCTACCGCTCAGGTAGACCGCCAGGATGGCCAGCGCCAGGCATGTGAGCACCAGCAGCGCCAGCAGCAGCAGGAAGCCCCCGCGGCCGCACACGGGACTGCAGCCAGCCTGGACACACAGAGATGGCGGCAAGACACCCAGCAGCTCATCCCAGGCACGGTGTACCGTCGCCCTCAGTTCCCACCGGTGCCCTGCGCCCTCCTACCGCTCAGGTAGACCGCCAGGATGGCCAGCGCCAGGCATGTGAGCACCAGCAGCGCCAGCAGCAGCAGGAAGCCCCCGCGGCCGCACACGGGACTGCAGCCAGCCTGGACACACAGAGATGGCGGCAAGACACCCAGCAGCTCATCCCAGGCACGTGGCTCCTCAGCCAGATAGGGGCGCGGTGAGCCTGCAGGGTGATGAGCCAGGAGGGCAGCAGATGCACCTGCACCCTCCCCTAGCCCCACACCTGCACCCCTGCCCCCCCTCACCTCCACTGTGCAGGTCGCTGATGGACTCCACTTGGTGCAGCCGCACCTCCTGCACGTGGTTGGGAGCCAGTGGCCCCCTGATCCTCTGGCTCAGCATCCCCAGTGCAGTGTCTGCAAGGGCAATGGGGATGAGTCAGGCCGTCACCCCCTCCCTTCCACACGGCTTCAGGCCACTGGGGAGGATGGGGATAGTGAGCCATTTAGCTCCAAGTTTTCTAAAACTGACTCAGGTGGGACCCTGGAGTTGAGCCAGGCCCCCAGGGCCCCAAGGCCACTCTGTGCAGGGGCAGGAGGTGCCTTCCTAGTTGACTGGTTGTCAGCCTCGTAGGACTTACCCCACAGCTCATGGAACTGGTCCTGCAGACCCTGCCAGCCCACCTCAGGCCAGACCCAGTGCCCTGGGTCGCCTCCTCCTGGGCAGAAGTGGCCATGGTGCTGCTTTGCCCTCCTGGGCTTGGTTCCTTAGCATCCTGGGTGTGATTCTGCCGTTCCTGCTTCACATCCCTACAGGACCCCCTTCCTGGTTAGACTGCTACCTCCAAGGCCGGGCCTTCAGGTTGTTTCCAGTCCCCTTAGATGTGAATGTTCCCAGAACATCCATCATTGAATATGAATGTCTTTCCCAATTTCCTGATGGTTATTAAGGGCCATTCCCAGAAGTAGAATTAATAAGTCCAAGCTGAGTTTGTTTTTGTTTTGTTTTGTTTTTTGTTTTTTTAACCGTCATCAGGGGACCAGCAGATGGCATAATGGTTACATCACTGGACTCCCACATGGTCAACTACAGTTCAAGTCCTGGACTCGGCAGTTTTAAACTCACACCAGGCACGTGTGCATGCATGCCCAAAATCCCAAGAGGAGAATGGAGGAAAAGGGATTGCAGCGTGGCCATCCCCTGGGGGGTGATTTCTTGCTTTCTGTCTCTCTGTCTCTCTCCAGTGAGCACACACACCTTATAGCAAAAATCTCCAATAAATAATAAAATAAAACCGTCATCAGCTTGTCCTCTAGTAGGGTACAATGTCACCACCATTAGACATCCCTATTGAAAAAGTACACTTATGGGCCAGCAGGTGGCGTGGTGCTTAAGGTGCTGGAATTCCCACATGGCTGGCCATCGTTTGAGTCCTGGACCTGGCAGCTTGCTTTCTCACTTTCTCTCTCTCTCTTTCTTTGACAAAACTCATGTGAAAAATAATATTAACAATAATAATAATAAATAAATAATTCTTTAAAGAAAAGAAAAAGTACCCTTACAGGGTCGGCAGGTGGTGTGGTAGTTAGGTGCTGGGCTCCCACAGGGCCGACCACGGTTTGAGTCCCGGACCTGGTGGCTTGCTTTCTCACTTTCCTTCTCTGTCTGCCTCTCTCTGGTGAATGCATGTGCACTATAGCAAACCAAATAATAATAATAAATAAGTAATAATTCCTTTTTTTGGAGTTTTTTTTTTTTTTTTGCTACAGGGTGTGTACGCTCGCCAGAAAGATAGACAGAGAGACAGAAAGCAAGAAATCACCCTTCAGGGGGAATGGCCACGCCGCAATCCCTTCTCCATTCTCCTCTCGGGATCTTGGGCACGCACGCACACGCGCCCGGTGTGAGTTTAGGCCACCGGGTCCAGGACTCAAACTGCAGTCAACTACATGCGAGTCCAGCAGTAATAATTTTTTTTAAAAAAAGAAAAGTACATGTACATTCACTAGTTTGAAAGTGAGAAATAGCCTTTCTTGATCAATTTTTAGTTTGTTTTTAAATTTTTTTGCTAAAGGGCATGGAAAGAGACAGAGAGAGGGAAACGAACCCACAGCCCCTACCCACAATCCCGTCCCCATTCTCCTAGCGATTTTAGGCGCACGCATGCCCAGTGGTTTCTCCAGTCTCAGGATAAGAGACTCAGACCACACCGTTGACCATGGAGGGTCCAGCACTTTAACCGCCATGCCACTTGCTGGCCCCTGAATGGGGATTCTTAATCATCAGGCATCTGCCCACTTAATTGCTGAGGTACTCTTCTTGTCATTTTAATTTTAATTTTTTATATTTTTTAAAGGTTTTTGCCATCAAGTGTATGTGCTTGCTGGAGAGACAGAGAGAGAGAGAGACAGTGAGAGAGAAAAGGTGAAATCACCCCCAGGGGGATGGCCACGCCACAGTTCACCCTCTTCCATTCTCCTCCTGGGATTTTGGGCATGCATGCACATATGTCCAATGTAAGTTTCAAGCTGCCAGATCCAGGACTCAGCCATGTGGGAGTCCACCACCTTAACCACTGTGTCACCTGCTGACCCCTTAGTTATCATTTTAAAAAATCTCCCAGAGGAGGGGGCCAGGATAAAACAAGAAAACAGGCATGGTCAAGCCATAATCCCTTCTCCACCTCATCCACCTCTTGGGCTTTTGGGCATGCATGCACATGTGCCTGGTGTGTTTTTCAACCCAGAGTCTGGGACACAAACCGCGTGGTTGACCGTGTGGAATCCAGCCACTACAACTGCCTCACCATGGACTGGCCCAGTTTTGGTTCTTTTCAGACCTATCAAATGGTTTTGTGATTTCTCTAATACTCAGAGGTTTTTGCTATAGGGCGCGTGCGCTCGCCATAAAGAGAAACAGAGCGAGAAATAACCCCCCAGGGAAATGGCCACACCACAATCCCTTCTCCATGCTCCTCTTGGGATCTTGGGCACACATGTACACATGCCCGGCATGAGTTCAAGCCACCAGGTCTGGGACTCGAACTGTAGTTGACTACATGGGAGTCTAGCGACATAGCTATTATGCTAACTGCTGGTCCCTCTAATACTTAGATTTTGTTCTGGTTGTTCTTTCACTGATTTTTTAAAAATCTTGGCCATAGGTTGACCCTTTGGTGAGATGGTTAAGCACTGTGCAAAGGAGACCAGACCCCACGTGGTCAACCCAGGTTCGAACCCTGGCCCTGACAGCAACATGGTGGGTGTGCATATAGAGCGGCCAGGGTCCAACAGAGGGAGGGAGAAATGGAGGCACAAGACAGCACTCTCTTCCTCTTGCTCTTTCTCTTTCTGACATCTGCCCTCTGGCATAAAATTCATCCACAAGGGCTCTGGATGTGCATACCTAGCAGGCAGACAATGAAGAAGGGGAGGGAACCGAGGGGACACCTCCCAACAGGGCAAAGGTGACCTTGGACTCTGAATCTGTCATTCTCAGGACACCTTCCATGATTTGACTAAAACTGGCCCTGGACATGCTGAAAAGCAAGTAAAAAGTGGACATCAGATTTTTGTCTGGGTGGTGGGTTGAGGGTCATATTAAATTCCCTCTTTGGGGCCAGCAGGTGACATGGTGGTTAAGGGCGCTGGACTCTCACATGACTGACTGCGGTTCGTGTCCCGAACCTGGCGGCTGGCTTTCTCACTTTCTTTCTCACTCTCACTGTCCTTCTCTGGTCAAATTAAAATAAATAAACTTTAAATAAATGAATAAAATACACTTTAAATGAATAAATAAAGTTATTTGTTTATTTTAATTTGACCAGAGAGGAACAGAGTGAGAGTGAGAGAGAGAGAAAGTGAGAAAGCAAGCTGCCAGGTCCAGGACTTGAACCATGGTCAGCCATGTGTGAGTCCAACGTCCTTAACCACCATGCCACCTGCCAGCCCCCAAAATAAAATAATTCTTTAAAAAAATTAATTCCTGGGACCAGCAGTTGGCGTAATGGCTATGTCACTGGACCCCCATGTAGTCGACTGCGGTTCGCGTCCCGGACCCAGTGGCTTAAAACTCACACCGGGCGCGTGTGCGTACATGCCCAAGATCCCGAGAGGAGAATGGAGGAGAAGGGATTACAGCATGGCCATCCCCCCTGGGGGGTGATTTCTCGCTTTCTGTCTCTCTGTCGGGTGAGTGCACATGCCCTATAGCAAAAACCTCTTTAAAAAAATTAATTCCTGGGGACCAGCAGGTGGCGTGGTGGTTAAGGTGCTGTACACTCCCACATGGCAAACCAGGGTTCGAGTACTGAATCTGGTGGCTTGCTTTCTCACTTCCTCTCTCTCTCATTCTCACCCTCTGTTTCTCTCTGGTCAAATTAAAAAATAAATGAATGAATAAATAAAATAATTATTTTTAAAAAACATTAAAAAAATTTAATTCCCTCTTGCAGGGAACCAGCAAATGGCATGGTGATTAAGATGCTGAACACTCACATGGCTGACCATGGTTTGAGTCCCAGACCTGGTGACTTGCTTTCTCACTTTCCCTCTCTGTGTGTGCGTCTCTCTCTAGTCAAATTAAAATAAATAAATAAATACAATTAAATTTAAAAAATAATTCTTTTAAAAATATACAAATAAATTAATTCCCTCTTTACAGGCCAGCAGGTGGCATAGTGCTTAAGGCACTCAACTCTCACATGGCTGACTATAGTTTGAGTCTTAGACCCGGCAGCTTGAAAATCACAGCAGGCCAACAGCAGATGGCCTAATGGTTATGTCGCTGGACTCCCACGTAGTCGACCACTGTTTGAGTCCCAGCAGTTTAAAACGCTGGGCGTGTGTGCATGGGTTCCCAAAATCCCGAGAGGAGTGGAGGAGAAGGGACTGTGGTGTGACCATCCCCCTTGGGGGTGATTTCTTGCTTTCTCTCTGGCAAGCACACATGCCCTATAGTAAAAATATCTCCCTTAAAGAAAAAAAAAAAGAAAGAAAGTCACACCAGGTGTGTGTGTAGAACGCAGAGGAAAAAAAAGAGGCATTCTTTGTAGGGCCCAGTGCTATGGTCATTAAGGTGTTGGATCCCACATGGCCAACTGCATGGTTCAAGTCCTGGACCCAGTGGCTTAAAAGACACACCTGATGCATGTGCGTGTGTGCCCAAAATCCCAAGAGAGGAGAATGGGGATGGGATTGTGGTATGGCCATCTTCCCCAGGGGTTGCTTCCTTATCTCAGAAAGTGCTCATACTCTATAGCAAGATTTTATTTTATTTATTTATTTATTGGAGAGATTTTTGCTATAGGGCGCATGCACTTGCCAGACAGACAGAGGGAGACAGAGACAGAAAGCAAGAACTCACCCCCCCGGGGGGGGTGGCCACACCGCAATCCCTTCTCCTCCATTCTCCTCGCGGGATCTTGGGCACGCACGCACACGCACCTGGCATGAGTTTTAAGCCACTGGGTCCAGGACGCGAACCACGGTCGACTACGTGGGAGTCCAGCAACATAGCCATTACGCTAACTGCTGGTTCCCTACAGCAAGATTTTTAAAAGCACCTCTCTCTGCACTTGGCTGTGCTTTTCTCACATTTGCTAAATTGGACATGGATTCTGTTTGTTATAGGAGAAACATACAGTAAACATGACTGTTAAGACCCCAAAAGAGGGACCAGCAGGTGGCGTGGTGGTTAAGGCGCTGGACACTCCCACATGGCCGATCATAGTTCAATTCCTGGACCTGGTGGCTTGCTTTCTCACTTTCCCTCTCTCTCTCTCTATCTCTGTGTGTGTGTGTGTGTGTGTGTGTGTCTAACTCTGGTCAAATTTAAATACATAAATAGATAAATAAGTAAATAGTTAAAAGAAAAAAAGAAGACCCCAAAGGAAAGCAAACGTCCCCCCTACCAGGGACTGGGCCCCTCCCTGCAGTGTAAAATGCTGGACTGCGATGACCAGAGTCCAGCTGGGCCCAGCTGCATCGTGGGCTGTGAGTGAGGCCACAGAGCAGCTGGTCACACGTCCTGGCCAGCACTGGGCCGGGGTTCCTGGAGCCCTGCTGCTCCGGCCCCTTTGAGCCTGGTGCTTACCCTCAGTGGTGGCCAGGGGGTGGCCACCAAGCTCTTGACTAGCAGAGTCTCAGTCTGACCAGGCTGGGGGACCTCAGCCCTTAGCTGGGAAGGATATTTAGGCCCAAGCCTGCCTGATTCCCTGTCCCTGGACCCACTTCCCTGCTTCCTGGAACCACTGCCCACATGAACCCAGCTTCCTCCCTGAAGGAAGGGCTGAAGTGGCCAGGCACCTGCCCAGATGCCCACACCCACTTGACACTATGCAGTTGAGACACCCCAACCAGGTAGCGTGTCCCAATGCCTCCCTGCCGTGGGCAGCTGGGCAGACTGAAGAGGAACCGAGGTGGGGGGGCTCCAGAAAAAAAACCTCCGGGCAAGGAGATTCCTCTGTTCTGTCTGGGTTAGGAAACTGACAGGGAGATCTGGGGACGAAGATGGGTCTACCCTCGGTCCAGGGGGTACAGGACAGAGGCCTTGCCCTCCCCCATCGTCACCCTTTCCTACCTTCTTGGGTCTCCTCGGGCATGGCGAGTGGGGGGGAGTCAGGAGGCCGATGAGGTGCCCAGCAGGGGGACTGGACAAAGGCAGCAGTGGGTCCTTAGAGAGCCCGGGGAAGGCCTGGCCGCCTCCCAGCCTGGGCCTAAAATAGGCCTGAGCTCAGCCCAGTGGGCTATATTTAGAGGACAGTGCTTAGCCATGGGAAGGGGCAGAGTGAGGCCCATGTGCCAGTGCGGACTACCTGACGTTGGAGCCCAGCCAAGAACAGACCTCCCCTGGTCCATGTGCCCAGGGGCCTTCCCGGGGTACCATACCACCCCATGCAGGCACAGGCCTTGGGGCCTTCCTTCAGAACAGCCGCCTCCAACTCCACCTCCCCTGTCCGTCTCCACTCAGCCACCCTCCAGTCCCCGCAGACCCCCGCCCACTCCTTCCTCCTTCCAGCAGGTGTGTGACAAGCACCTACCATGCGATCTGCTAACACTGGGGACTGGGGGTGGCGGACACCTTGGTCCAGTGCCACGAGGGTCCTGCTAGCGCCACAAGTGGGCAGACACACGCCGCACACCACCCAGGCACACAGTGGATGGAGCTGGGTTGGAGGTTGGTACTTGGGTACAGGATGTCCCTCTCTGGCCCCAGTTTTCGTATTTGTGAAACGGGAGTCCCAGCGGGCCCTCCCTGGCAGAGGTGGTCAGACAACCACGTGTCTAAGCACTCAGCCCAGTGCAAGGCTTTGGTCCCCCTTCCTCCTTTCTACAGGAGAGGGGTACAGGTTGCATGAAGTTGCGTGAACAGGCGTGGTACCTCCTACCCTGGGAGGGAAGAGACGGGCCAGCTTCAGGCCCTCCCTCCATACTTGCCACCTTTAATCCTCACTACAACTGTATCACCAAGAGACGCTTGGGTCCCCAGTGCCAGGGAGGCCCCCAAGCCCACCTTGCAAGGTCGGGGGCTATCGCCTTTGCTGGGGCCACTCGGGAGGCTGATAACGTGTTTATTGCATTACTTTAGTACAGTCGTCCTGCTCGCCCCAACGGTCCAGCCTGTTCACAGCTTTCTGCTCACTGCCCAAGGAGGGGGCCCTTCTCCAGGTGGACACTGTGGACACCTCGGCCGGTGGTTGCTCTGAACCTGGGCTTCTCTGCCCCCTCCCTCCCGGCCGGCTCCTGCACTGGCCTGGGCCACCCTCCAGGGCTACATTCAAGGGTTATCCTGTTAATAAATAAGCCGCTGCAGCTGCCCTTGGCCAGGGCCTGTCGGTTGGCATCTCCCTCTCAAACTCCATCAACCAGGGACCACAGCGTGCCCAGCCCCAGCCGTCTATCTTCCCAGGGTCTGTCTCCCCTCTCTCCCTCTTGTCGTCTTCTGTCTTGTCCCCGGCGTGGGGACCACCTGGTCACCAGTGCGCTGCGCTGCGCGGCCCCCGCTCAGCACGCGGCCCAGGGGCATGCATCCGCCGGTTGCGGCCCTTCCTCGGTGACTCTGGGGGCTGCAGTTGCAGCGCCGGCTGCGGGCGGCACATGCGCAGGGAGTTGGCGCCGCCACCGCCACCCGGCTCCACCAGCTGCAGAAAGTCTCGGTACCAGAGTTTGGGGCCCGGTGGAGCAGCGGGGGCAGCCTCCTCGGCCCGCGCCCGGCGCTCGGGCTGCCCAGA